TTAAAGCATCTACTCATCTTTCAAGATTCAGATCAAATAGCATCCCCTTACTGAAGCCAGCCTTAAATTATAGGAGCTATCTCTTTCCAAATGGAAATGCAATTCCAGAAAGTGCAAGAGCTCTCAACTGCGGAATAATAAGCTGCAAGCCAGGAAACTTCTGCTTTGAAGACAAGTAAAGTAACAATAACAACAGCAGCTGTCAGACACTTTAAATATTTAATCACTGATTCTTACAACAAACTTGCAAATTAGGTTGAGAGTTAAGTGCTAGCCCAAGTTCACGCTGTCAGTCACTAGTGGAACAGAAATGCAAACCCAAACCCATCAGACTCCAAGCCACTGAACAAGAAACAGAGAAGAATGACTTAAAATAGGCTAACCGCATCATTGATACTCATGAAGACGTATATAGCATTTTCTAATCGACTGCCAAATATTTAACACGCTTAAATGTGCAAAGATCTGTGGTAGCTACTATGTGGAATGAAATGCGGTATATAGAGCGTTGCCCTCAAAGAACTGACAGTCTAACTAAAAGGAAAGACTTGACCATGAATATTAGGCAGAACTTCTGGTTAAGGGGCAGAATATGGCTCTGAAACCTAAGAACAGCTGCTGGGGTGATGCTCCTAGGATACATCGAGGTTCTTTAAAATACTGTCACATTGCCTGTGCTTTGTGTGACTTGCCTCTTTCACCCAAAAGTCAGGAACATATGAAATTCTAGTCATTTGAAGGATCCAGCTAATATTTAATAAATAAATAAGGTTTTATTTCTCATTAAAACTAATAGAAATAATATTTTGCCCTATTTTTGGCATTTTTTAAAGAACCCCCAGATAACTCTTGAAATCACAGCGGTGTTTGGCTTCGTGTGCAGCTTAGAAAGGAGATATCCTGCCTCCGGTGAAGCTCCGGGCACGTGGCACTGTGACTTTTCACTGGGCACCTCAGAGAACATATTGAAGCGGCACTTCATCAGGGCTAGGCTTAATGTCTAACGATCAGCCCCAGGAAGATTTTCCTGACTCCCTGGAGCGCTTCGTAGACCCTGACCTCCACCTGCCTGTGCTCGCGGTGTCCTGCCTGCCTGCCTGGACATCCTCTCCCCGGTGCCGCTCCCACCCCAGCTGTCGAATCCCACCGTGTGACATTTCCCACGACCCCCATCCTCAGGCAAAACCCATCTCCTTCCTCTCATCTCCTACGTAGAAAGCATTTTTTGTAATCTGCTTATTCATCCCATATCTGTAGAGGTGGCTACCTATTCCTCGGTACCTGATAATGAATTCGAATTTGTTCATCCTTTTGTCAGTCATTTTAAAATTGCCTGTGAGGCCCCTGAGGCTCCAAAGGGGAATGAGACTTGGTATCTTCCCTGCCAAAGCTCATGGTCTAGTGTTACATACACATGATACGGGATGAACACAGACATATGGACGGAGCTCTCTGGAAGGTACAAAAGGGAGGAGATAGATTCTGCCTGGAGCTCACGGAGGACAACAGAGAAGTGGGACTTTCATGGTTGGGGTGGGAGGTGCCTTTCACCAGGCTGATGGGACACACAGCGCCTAGGCAGGGAGGTGTGAGCATC